GTTTCCTGCATAATTCATTGTACTTTTAACATACAAAATAAAAACGACAGTCGAGAAGACATGTAAAAGGCATAACGGGATTGGTCACATGGCCAAATTCAGAAAGGAGAATTGGACTGCGTAGCCGAAACCGCGATAAAGAAGGCAATTTCCTAAATAGGGCATGTGAGGATTTCCCTAATGCCGGCCAAAAAATGGATTGCCACTCAAGCCGATATAAGTTTCCTTCAATTCTCCCGAAAAACATCAACAAACGTGAAGTGTTACGTCCACATTTAACATGGTTCTCAATACGACATTGCTTTTATTATTTAAAGGCCTTATTGGTTTATCGAGTACTATTATAAGTACAGAATATAGAAAATCACTAAAAAAATATTGGTAGAGAATGCTTTTAGCATTAAGTTCTACCTTTTGTACCATTATGTGGGTCAATAAAGTTTCATAAGTAAAAATCAAAACCTAGCATTAAAAATGTACATACATTGATGCCCAAATGTGTTTTTTTATGATACCAAGAGAAGAGACGAACAAGTCGTGCATCTGGTGGTAAGCGACACGCCTGTCCATTGCAGTTACAGTGCCACTCATAATTTGAAATCGCAAAGCTCTTGGGGGCACTGCCACTGCGCCCGTCACCATGAGGCATAAGTTGACAAGTCCCATGTGTCTGTAATTTCAACAGCACCCTTTACCCTTCAAAACCGGAACGCAGTAATGCTCATGTTACTATTTGGCGTCAGAAATAAGTAAGGTAGCAGTACTTCCCTGGACGAACTCTTTCACAAGGAGCTCTACTGCTGCTAAATGTGTAAACATAGTTAATGTGTACACAGAATTCAATTCATTACAAGCGATAATAAACCAGGAAGCAGAAGGAAATGACAATACTCGCTTGTGACATCACATTAATGATCATTTCGCTAAAAGTGGCGGTGAATTCACCATCACTGACTGATGTACTACTCGTATTAGATAAGATATCGAAAAACAGTCCACAGTTTCGTTTGCAGCATATTCATGCGAGCTGATTGAAGCAATAACAATTCTAGAATTAAATACATAAGGCATTATGTTATATACTACTTATACTCGTATATGTGGATATAAAAGAGATTACTCGATTTTTTCTGTTTGCAAACGTCACACCAGTTTGACAGTTCAAACTCGATGTGGTCGCAGCGTAAGGGTTGCAGCCTTTTTTTTTCCATCCTCTAGGCGTCGCAGAAAGGGTGGCGCTGTTGACATTTGGACGTTTTCAGAATTATAAAGTCATCCGACATGATTCAATGATTCCTAGAACGCAAACATATTAGAATCAAAAAGAATGGCTATGTGGTTACACTTTGGGAAGTAAGCAAACCTGGTGTTAGAACTAAGTCCAAACTCATGGTACCACGATTTCGTTTAACAAAGGCAAATGATTCTCTTATGGGGAAATGTATACGTTTTTACAATAAGATTCCAGAGTTTATATTAAAATTATCATTTCCTAAGTTTAAAACTTACACCAAAAGTATTTTAATTGAAAAGCCATATTATAAAATTTAAGACTACGTGTTAGATAAAGATGTCTGGAAAGGCGACATGAGTTTACATGTTTTGATTACAAATATCGTAGGAAATTAATGTCTTTTAATAAAGACGAAATGGAAACAACCCTAAACCGCCGTCGTCGTCTGTCTCATTGCAAATTATCACTACATATTGTAAACATGATATATTATTTCTATCAATAAAAAATCTCTACCAAATCCTAAATGAAGTAAGTTGGCTGCTTTTAACTCCTAAGAAATATAAGCCAGTAAATAGGTTTTTGGAGCTCCGAGCATCAGCGAATATTTCTATGGAAGTTTACTTAGGATACAAGTTTCTGCTTCGAAACTTATATGAGCTACATGTTGTTACTACTTCGCCTCGGTGGCTTTAGGCGTGTAAAAATACTTATTTATGTTCCTTTACAAACTTCGCATCGACAGATTGATATCGAAAGAGGGAAAACATTTGCTATAGTCGAGATCTATATCTATGGTCGAGATTGGAAGACTGCTAGCTATTCAAATAATACAAATAGATAATGCAGAAAACAACGATACGTTACACAGAGAGACATTTTAAATTCATAGTTAAAGATAATAATAATAATACACTCCCGGACACAGTCACTTTGCATTCTCAGCATTAAATACTTTAAACATGTTTGATTGATCAAAAACTTGTGTGATTTTGGTAACCTAAACCTACATCAATTTCATAAGTCCTCATTGAAAATTCGAATTTGTAAGAGAGGTTATTTATACACTGCCACTTTTAATACAGTAGCGATGCGGTCGCTAATCATCTACCTTTACACGCGCGCGCGCAATTTTAAGCAGCAATGCAATCGCCTATACATGCCAAGTGTAGCGATGCAATCGCACATTTGTATCGAGGCAGTCGCGCGCTTGCATCGATGCAATCGCCTACAAATCGCAAGTGTAGCGATGCAATCGCGCGTTTCACGAACGCGTGTGTAACCACTCTTAAACATAATAAATTTTTCTTTGATGATAACAACTTTTTTGTATCCCAATTTAGTAAATTAGTAATTATTTTAATTTCACTTACGACTATTTTTGTCAATTGCCATAACTATGGCCCTATCGAATCGGTTGACGAACACTACGAAGATGAAAAATAAAATCGGTGTTCTTTCACAGTATAGTAGAGAATGTCTGTGGGCGCTGTCGCGAACATTCCTGACAGGCTGCCTGCAGTAGCGCAGTAGCCCCATCAGCATCCTCAACGCATTGTTATAACAAGTTTGTTTCGTGTACTGTTATCACAAATAGCTCGTGTGAAATGATATAAGCTTTATCGATTTCAATTTAATTGCACACGAAACAGCTGGCGGGAGAGCTGGGTTCAGAGAAATTTACAGGTGATGCATGCCTTGAGAGGAGCAATAAAATTAAAAACAGACGTTCAAAATGTATAATGTGCCAGATAACGACACCAATTATCTTAACTAGAAAATTCCCAATACTAGGTCTATCAAAGCAACGGAATTCACCCCGGGGAGTATAGATAGTGATCGATATAAAAACCAATTAATCAAATTTATATTAGCTGAGGTAACACACAATAATTGAGATAGAGTTCGTCCAGGAAAGTACTCCCATCTTACCTGTTTCTGCCGCCAAGCAGCAATGCTCACATTACTGCGTTCTGATTTTGAAGGGTACGGGTAAAATTATTAATCAAATATAAATCAGCATATTCAAATATAGGGTAACTTGTACTAAGACAATTTTTGTTAAGAATGGGAGGAAAAGTTTGAAATGGTAGAACGATCTTAAAATACGAATAATCTATACGCTTCACAATGAGATCATTCCTCCGTTCATTTGTGATCTAATAAATAATACGTCTTATTAACACTAAATACCTCGACCTGTCAACCACTCGCATTGCAGTACAAGCCATCGCAACCGAAGCCACATTTGTCGAGTAATATTTATTAGGGTGAGTATAATCTCATCATGCGATCCCTTGGTAGTGGAAACTGATAACCTTCAAGTGGAGTATACGATACGATAATAAGCGATATCAATTTCACCTACTACATAATATTTATTTTGTCTTTGTCTCATCCGAGCGATCTGAATCGACTAAGACACGTGTGACGTTTTAATCATGTAAATGGATTATAAATATAATATGCTTGTAAGATTGTTTTCGTAAAATGGTAACTGTTCAATTTCCTATTTTAATAATCTTAGGCTCACCTTAACTCTCGAAATGACTCACTTTAACTAGAGTGAGCAATAAAAATATAAACAATAAAATGTTATTAGGAATGATTGTCTTTTTGCGCAACTTCAAAGTGAAAATCAGGGAATATTATAAATTCATTTTAGTGTGCTGGTTTATTAGCCGGTTAACTATTCATTTTATTCTTTATAGAACGGTAATTAATGTACAAGACGAGAAAAATCTATTTTTTTTATGAACTAAACTAGAATTATGTTATACTTATATTGGAATTGGCTCACACACTGCAAAGTTTGGAGATAAAGTTTTGTCCACTGATTCTTCAATATCGGTACTTTGTAACAAATGTTCCAAATACAACCAAAACAATTAAGTAACCATCGAACTAAAAAAATCAAATATGAATTCAACAGAGCACGCAATAAAAGATGTATTTAAAGTGAAATTAAAGAATGTTCATGAAGTTGAAGTGTCTCAAAATTTGCAAGGTTCTTGTTTGAGGACTACCAAGACGAATCTACTGAAATATTGATATTTTGCATATATATTTTGCAATACGAGACCTTTATTCATTGAGGAAACATTAAAAATCACCCAAAACATTTCTGCGAGTTACATACATAGTTCATAAGGATGTGGACAGTACCGAGGAACCAATATAAATCCCTCATTTATACATTTCTTGACGCACAAATAAAAGGTTCCAGCCCTAGAAAGGAATTTCCTGACGCTACTATTATTTTCCACAACGTATTCGAAAAAAGAAAAGGAGCTTAGGCAAAATCTAATAAAACTAAAAGAGTTGATAGTAACCCTTAATTCACTCTTAATACTGTTTATAAAAGAGCATATTGAAAATACCGGGCAATACAAAATCGAAGATTCAATAATGGAGTTGGTAAAATCAAAAGAAATTAATAATTTTAATGACTACATGATTCGGTAATGGTTGAAAAGGAAGAATATTCTGATATCTGGTACATAATACGGAACTTGACTAACCAATAATGATTTAGAGACGCGGTATGTAAGATTAAACAAATTAGTAAACATTTTTGTTCACTAATTGTGTAATTACTGTGAAGACACTATTATCGCAGCTGAAAATAATAAAACAGCAATTAATGGAAATTGTATTAATAATATTTCATTTATAAAACAATGTACTCCAAAAATCAATAAGGTCCTCACCTATAAATTAACAACTCGGCGAGACCAATTTAATGAGCCCTGTTTCAGGAACATAATGGGCCTAATATATCTAATAAAAGACCAAAGCTGAGTGGTAACAACTTTACTGTTAGAAAGGTTAAAGACGAATGGAGCGGCGGCACACGTCACAAATCACATACAAAAAGTACCTGTTAATATTCTTAAAGCAAACTATCTAACTATACCAAAACACAATTTAAAGTAATTAAAACTACAGGCGCCGCCGCCCTTCTCTAGCTCCACGGAGGGCCGGTTCCTGTGACCAGACAGATGGAGTGTGGATTCCACGAGCAGAGTTGATGGGGCCGCAACATCTTCCCCCTTCGCTGAAAGATCCCTCTTTCAGCACTGACTTACAGTAGGGTGCAGCGGACACAGGCGAACCAATGGACGTCGTACACTTCCTCTCGTTGTGTTTACTTCTGCAACTCGTGAAATTCCATCGGAGCCCGGAAATAGTCTCTGGACTCGACCGAGACGCCAACAGAGTGGTGGAACATGGTCTTCTTGAAGGAGCACCAAGTCGCCAATCTTTAATCTTTGATTGTCCGTCTCTGTCTTCCACTTTCTTCTTTGTTGCAGTTCGGCTATATACTCCTTTTGCCACCGGTTCCAAAAATGTTGGTGAATTTTCTCGAGCCGTGCGTAGCGTGCTAGAGAATTGGCAGCACGTTCCTCCAAGGTAGGAGTGGGTAGGGCAGTTAGAGGTCGCCCCACGAGGAAGTGCCCTGGTGAGAGATAGAGGAAGTCGTTAGGAGAGTTGGATAGGGGACACAAGGGACGACTATTCAAAACTGCCTCCACTTGCGCAAATAATGTAGACAATTCTTCAAAGGTTAAATGAGAATTGCCCATGACTCGTTTTAAATGGAATTTGGCCGATTTTACACCGGATTCCCAGATTCCGCCGAAGTGAGGAGCGTACGCAGGAATAAAATTGAACCTTACGCCTTCTTGGGCCGCAAATTCAGATAAAGAAACGTTACTTTGTTTTAAAAAATTAGACAATTCCTTATCACCTGCAACGAAATTACGCCCATTGTCACAAAACACTTCGACTGGCTTTCCTCTACGAGAAACAAATCGTCTAAAGGTCATGATAAAGGCGTCCTTTGATAAATCACTGACTGCTTCTAAGTGAATGCATTTATATTTCATACAGACAAATAGGCATAAGTAACACTTTACTAATTTGGCACCACGTCCTTTTCTATTTATAATTTGAAAGGGGCCTGCAAAGTCTAAGCCCACCGACGTAAAAGGAAAGTCTGGAATTAGTCGCTGGGGTGGTAGATTGCCCATTTTTGGGCATAGCGCTTTAGGTTGAACGCGACGGCAGCGTACGCAGTTATTTACAGTGCGCCGTGCGACGCGCCTTCCATTGATAGGCCAAACAAGCTCTCTAATAGTAGCCAGCAATGATTGGGGGCCAGCATGCAAAGTGCGTATATGCTCACGTTCAAATATAAGCCGTGTTAAGTGGTGCGATGAGTCCAACACAATTGGATGTTTTTTGTTATAGCAGTATTGAGAGTTACTAATACGGCCACCTACTCTAATTAGATTATTTTCAAAGAAAGGTGAAAGTGATATGATTTTGGATTTAGTTTTCAATTCTAATTTCTTGGACAGTAAATTATACTCAATAGGAAATGATTGCTGTTGTGCTATGGAACACAGGTAAGAGAAAGATTTATTTAATTCGTCGGTAGTTAGAATTCCTAACTGTTTAGTTTTAGGGTTCTTTAAATTAAAAACAAAGCGTTGAACGTAAGCAAAAGTTCTTTGTAATTTAGTTAATTTTGAATAATTCTCAAAATTGATAATGGATTCGTTGTTTACTAGTGACATATTGTACGCCATTGTTTCAGGCATTTCATTTTTAGTGTGAGATGGAATTGAACATTTATGTATGTATTTGTTAGTAGTTAAGTAAGTAGGAATTTGTAAGTTTGGTTTGTGTAAATGTTTTGAATATTGCGTAGTTTTAGTTTGTAAGTTTTTAGTATTTAGTGTATTTTTAGTTCGTAAGCTTTTAATTTCTGGTAAGTTTTCATTTTCAGAGTGAGAAGGAAGTTCGGGCCAACAAGATTCATCCTGGGATAAAAAACTTGGACCTGACCACCATAATTCCAGGTCTTGAAGCTGACTGGCAGTGACACCACGAGAAATTAGGTCAGCTGGATTTAAAGCTGAGGGAACATATTTCCAGGCGGATGACTTAGTTGTTTCATTGATTTCTCCAATGCGATTAGCTACAAAAGTTTTTAATTTATTTGTGTTTGTTTTGAGCAATGCTAAAACTACGCTGCTGTCGCACCAGTGTACAATACGTGATGGCTGGTATCTAATTGCATCGATAACAGAGTTACATAATCGGGCGGCGAGTAATGCAGCGCATAGTTCCAGGCGAGGAATCGTAACGGGTTTTAGGCTAGCGACCTTTGATTTCGCACACAAAAGCCTGACGGTTACGTCATCATTCTCATCTATAGAGCGAATGTAAACACACGCACCGTAGGCTCGCTGTGATGCATCGCTGAATGAATGCATTTCTACGACCTCAGGCGAATCGCAGACTACTCGTCGGGGTACTTGTAAATTAGAAAGTGAACTCAAATTGTTAGTAAATTCAAGCCATTCATTTGTTGTAATTTGATTGACGGGCTCGTCCCAGTCAACCTTTTGTGACCATAAATCTTGTAATATAATTTTTGGCTTAATTATACAAGGACTTAGCAATCCTAACGGATCAAATATTTTGAAAGAATTCGACATAATAAATCGTTTAGTGATAAGATTATTTGAGGATGGGACCTGAAATGGGAAGTGCAAAATATCATTGGAAGGGTTCCATCCAAGACCGAGAGTGCTCGATGATTCACTTATTGTTAAATTTTGTTGAGTATCTAAATCTGAACTTTCAAAAATAGTAGACAAATTACTCTTAAATTTTCTTAAATTGAAGCAAGCAGAGCTTAGAGCTGCTGAGACTGACTTCTTTATGTAGCGTAATTGTTGTTCATCGTTAGCGCCAGTTATTAAGTCATCTACGTAAAAATCCCTTTGTATTATAGTTTTAATAATGTCGTCCTCAGACTCCTCGCCCACCTGCCAGAGAGATCTTGTGCTTAAATAACTCGCACTTGCAGTGCCGTAAGTGAGAGTATCTAATCGCAACGTCTTGATTGGTTGTGACTCTTCCTCTCTCCATAGTATTAATTGTAAATTGCGATCGTCTTCGTGTACCCTTATTTGACGATACATTTTCTCAATATCGCCACACAATAGGAATTTGTATTGTCGCGCTCTAATTAGAATAGAGAAAAGAGAGTCTTGTATGTTTGGACCAACCATGAGGATATCGTTAAGCGAGTACCCAGAGGACGTGGGATTCGAACCGTCAAACACTACTCTTGTCTTAGTTGACTCACTGTCTTTCTTGAACACAGCGTGATGGCACAAAAAATAAGATGGACTTGGTTTATCGATGGGGGACTGTGATAAATGGTCTAATTTAGCATAATCTAGGATAAAATCAATATATTGTGACTTTAAAGCGGAATTTTGCTTAAAGCGTTTTTCTAGATTGAATAGCCGTTTTCTGGCTGAATAATAGGAATCTCCCAGACAATCAGGAGAATCAATTAGGGGCAACTTTACACAAAATCGCCCTGTACTTTGGCGTACAGTATTAGTTATGTAGTGCTCTTCACACATTTTGTCATTTTCGCTCAGAATTATTTTTTGGGGAATCTCTTCCAATTCCCAGAATTTAGGTAAATATTCATTTACAAAATCGTCTTTAGAAGACTTCGAAAGAGTTGCATGATTGCAATGAATAGGTAACTTGGTATCAGATAATTTGACATTAGTTGGAATAGGACCGGCGATCAACCAACCTAGGCGAGAATTTTGTAACTTGAGGTTATTTGAACCCAGAGGACGTGGTTCGCCTCTCAAAATGTCCCAGAATAAATCGGCACCTATTAAAACATCAATAGGTGCTGGTTGACCAAAATTAGGGTCAGCTAGCCTTATATTACTAGGCAAAGCTAATTGGCGCATATCAATAGGAGCCTTTGGCAGCTCACCAGTCAACTCTCTCAATACTAGACATGACAGAGTGACCTGGTATGAATTGTTTGCTAAAGAATTTATTTGGGCAATGCAATTCTCCTTTACTTGGTTGGATGAATTGTTGCCAATACCTACAATATTTAAAGTATTAATTAGATTGGTTTGCAGAGACAATTTGTCTCTCAATGCTTGGCTAATAAATGAAGATTGGCTTCCACAATCTAATAGGGCGCGAACATTTAATGATTTATTTGTGATAGGGTTTGTAACCTTGATCAACGCCGTGGAAAGCAGAACTTGTGTGGTGTTGTATACATTATTATTTTGTTTGGAAAATGACACTACTGAGTTAACTGTGTTTGTGTTAGTAACTGTATCAGAATTAGTACCTGTATTTGTATTAGTATTTACAATTGGCTGGTGAAGCAAAGTATTATGACGCTTCTTGCAATGGCGACAAGGACCCATTTTGCATTGAGACATTGTGTGACCTTGCCGTAAACAATTGGAACAAAGTTTAAGTTTCGAAACGTCTAAAATTCTCTCTTGTATATTTTTATTCCTGAAAATTGGGCAGTCGTAAATCCTATGACTGCTGTCATTGCAAATTATGCAATTTATTGAATAATTAGTAGGCACATCATGTTTAGTGCTAGCAAGAGAGAATTGAGTTTTGTTTGAGCTGAATTTAGGAGTAGGGGCCGAATGCGAGGAATGCTGCTGTTGTGAATTAAAGTTTTGACTAGAACTTTTGTTTCTACTTAAAGCTTGTAATACATTTGCACGATCGTTTAAGAAATTATTAAATATGTCCAATGTTGGAATGTCATCCAGTGCATTTCTCGCCTCCTCCCACTTTGTAACTGTTCGTGAATCAAGTTTTTTAGTTAAAATGAAAATAAGTAAAATGTCCCACTGGTCTGTGGGCAGGCCTAAAGTAGATAAAGCTCGTAGGTTTTTAGAAACGTGATCTACTAAAAACCGAAGCGATTTTTCGGACTCGCGTATCATAGGCTGAATATTACATAACGAATTAAGGTGGTGATCTATCAACAAACGCTTATTATCATACCGTTCGTTAAGCAACGCCCACGCTTCCTTGTAATTATCACTGGAGATCTCCAAGTTTGAAACGACTCTCGCCGCTTCACCTTCCAAATATGAATTCAAATAGTAAAATTTTTGAATAGGAGATATTTTGGAATTGTCATGAATTAAACTTTTAAATATATCTCGAAATTCAAGCCAGCGAAAATGAGAACCATCAAACCTTGCAATTTGTATTTGAGGCAATTTAATTGCACTCTCATTATCAAAGGAGCAATGATTTGGTACAGAATTGCGTCGCAATTCACTCATAGAATTGAACTCTAAACAGGTTTTTGCAGTCGCCATACTAATAATTATTTCATGCTCAATATTTTCTCGAATTTCGTTTTCTTCGTCTAATTCATCGCAATTTAATATTTCGATTTCAGTTTGCAACTCATCGAATCTTGCTGCCAAAGCCTCAAACTTAGTTAATTTTAAATTTAACTCGGTTAGTTCTATATTGGACAGATGCGGTTTACTAGTTACCTTATCCAAATAGTTTTTGAATTTTGTAATTTGCCCTTTAATTGAACTTCTTTTGATTACAGCCAATTTTAAACTCGCAAAATTAGCAGTAGCCTCCGCCTTTTCCGTCATGATATTTAAAAATATAAAACAATTCACTTACAATGTATAAAACTGAGCAAAATATGTTAGTATTTAAATCCAATCGCAAAATTTGAAGCAGGCAATATAGAAAGATATTAATAATAAAGGAATAAAAGGTTCAATCTCACGCTCCTCACTGCGACGTAACCTGTACGCGGCACCGGTCACTGCATCAGCTGTTGCCAACCGAAAACAATAGGCAGGCCCGGAACCTGTTTGCAACAAATGCAGCGAGTTGTCACCTGGAATGTTCGGCAAAAAATGCGTGAACTACAGCAATAGATAATTGATATGTAAATACGAGTATGGGACGTGGATAAAACTAATAATAACTGATTAAAGGTAAGTATTTAGAGGTAAGTTAATTTTAAGTTAGGTTAAGTAAATGGGTACGCAAACCGTACGTTTGTAAAAATTAAATAGATAATGGCTTATTATTTGTATTTTATTCGTGAATATTGTTATTTTAAGGCAATTTGTTCTAGTAATTTAACTGTAGTTAGTAGTATTTAACTCCTTGCAATTAAATATGGGCAAGTATAATAGGTATTTGCGCAAGTATCGACTGTTTGGTAAAAATTAGCTCAATGCTAGAAAATTTACTTGAAAATGATTCGGAATTAACCTTTAGGAGATTTGGATTAGAATAGGGAGGACAAAGGAAGGCACTTAGCTCGTGTGATGAGTCGGCAATGGCGGCACGATGTATTTGACCTTTAACTGCTCGTTTCTTGCTGAATCTTTGCTCGTGTCGTGCTTAATGTTTGCCGTGCAGTAGAAAATCTTCTTTTAAGCTTGCAGAGTGGCTCCAACTTCGTCTCCTGATCTGCTTCGATGGCCGTCGACAGTCCACGTGGCGGAGCTTGCGGTAAGAGGGATTCACTGTCTCATTTACCGGACCGGACGATTGATAGGCGTCAACACAGCTGCAGAAGAGACCTTCACCTGTC